ATAACAAGCACAAAATGGTTACAAGGTTGATGCTGAAAGAGAAAATCACCACTGTAAAAGTCTGTGGTATTGAATATACTATAATAAATTAAATTAATTAATATACTATAAATTAAAAAGTGTTATCATATTAAAACTTTGCAAGAAGACATTTAAGCTAACTGACTTTATTATAGGTAATAGTTCATTGATACATTACAAGCATAGACCAAATATGTATACACAAAGACACCTTCATACACAAGCCGTATGAACTTTTTGAAATTAGATGCTAACTTAATTAAGTCTTTGCCTTTATAAATGTTTAATATTTTTCCTCTAATATATAATTAGTTTTATGTATAGCAGACATTGTGTGTTAGGAGATCTTTATTTTTCAAGTAAGAATTATTAGGTTAACACAATTAATAAATTCAAGAGTTGACAAAAATACCTACAATTTCACAGTAACAACTTCCAGATGCAGAAGACTTGAATATTTGTCACATTTGTGTTGCATTTGAAAATGTCAATGTAAAAGTGGTATTAGTTAGTGAAAACATTCATGTCTACTTTCTTTTTTTGTAGAACAAACTTGGAATTGATCCACTGATGTACACCACACCTTGGGTCATGTGTGTCTTCACATCACTTCCATGTTGGGACACAGTTTTATCAATATGGGATCTGCTATTATTGGAAGGTTTGTAAATTATACCTGATATTAACAAGTACCACAGTTGAGTAAGTAAGTTTCACAGTAATTTAGCATTGCAAATCTGGCAAAAATGAGGAGTTTTAAATTTCATCAAATTTCTCAATTTGTATTTGGTACAGTTACTTGTATAAGAGTACTACTCCCAGACAACTTTTACCTTGTGATTGATATTTTGTAAAATTTGTTTTAGGAATTAGCCTCCTTTGTTGAATTTTAAGTTGTGATGGATATTGACCCTTCATGGTCACCTGCTTATTTTTACTATAATTTTTCAATGCTAATAGATGTAGAAATTAACAAAGTAATTATAGCTTTGTAGAATTAAACATAGTTATTATATAAATTAAAAATGTCCACACAAATTACATATAAATTTCAAAATTATGATGTTTGCATGTTGTTGCATTTTTTGGTTATTATTAATTCTTTTTAACCCTTTCACAACAGGCTTGTGTATTTTGCACGACCTTGTAACCATGAAGGTATACGTACCGTAATTCTAAAAGTACCTAAATTATGTTAACGAAATTTAACAAGCTTTCAGTAAACAATACAGGTCTTTTGTAGACAAGAAACAGAATTTGTAATGAAGTATTTTAGTAAAAATTTATCCATAACTATATGGAGTGAGAGTGTTGACTGTTCTGAAGCCAAAAGGATTTTTGCAACAGGTGCCCCCTTTTAAAGCTTTTCTGAATTAGTAACTGTGTTACATTTAAAATTTAATTAAAAACCTTTACTTTCAGTGTATGTGAATGAAATTAATATTATAATGTGTATTATGAATCAAAGTTTTATTTTATAGAAGTTTTAAATTCTTTATATCAAAATAAACCTTTAAAAAACTACTTAAAACTTCAGATGTTTTGTCATTTGACCAACAAAGTATGAAAATTCTCTACTTTGGCTCTTTGTATCTTCAATAATACAATGGTAATTGAGTAGAAGTACATCAAGACAATAAGATGCTTACATAATCTTTTGACTCACACATTTCAAAGTTCTCTGAATGAATGCAGTTGAAACAAGTAATATATTTTTTGATTTTTTAATAGTTTAAATGTGAGTACCTACAATAGAAGAATAACATATTTTAGTAAAAATACTTAATTATAAAACCATCATTACTTGTGTACAAGATACTTGTGATCTTTAACAAAATCTTACCAGTTGTTGAGAGGATATGTTAAGAAATCTATGTATTGTTGTAAAAGTGAAAACTGTGACTTGATTTCTGCAAATTGTACGAGCCCGCCATGAAAGAGTTAAAATGTTTTTTATTCTTCACCTAGTACATAAGCCCACATTGACAAGTAAAGCTGAGTGACAGTCACCCTTTTTCTCAAGGTTATATGCTTGTGTATTTCCAGATATTAAGGATTGTTTTAAACATCAGTGAACAGATGCTGCTTTCAAATAAATAATAAAATAATAATAACACTACCCACCATAGCACTTTGGGACAACATGTTACAGATATGGGATAGTTCTTTTTGGATTAAATGTTGTTGTTTTCTTAAATTTTCCATCCCCACTGGATTCTCTCCAACTACATGTAATTCACCCAGTTTTCTCTTCACGGTTTTCAAACTTTGTTCCAGCATCTCCTAAAGACCCAAAAGCACATTTAAGGAATTTTGTTTAAATATGAATCTGGATATTTTTTCAGTTATATGTTTACAAAATATACAGATGAATCTACAACCATCTAAATACTACATAAAAACCATGAAGAAACAAGATATTCCAATTATATATATTTCACATGTCTAACGAACTTTGTGTTGCACAAAAATAAGCACTATTTAAGTAGATGATGACTTTCCTGTCATATTTTAATTTTTTTTATATTTAAGAGATCTGGGAAAATACAATGACAACATATAACAATTTTAAACAGAAATCATCATTAAAGGAATAAATTCCACATTTAGTTGTTGAAATATTCTTTAACTATGCTATGGATTACACTAAACAATTTTCATAAAAACATTAAATCCTACTTTATCTTTCTGCAGAGAACCAAAGTTTGAAAACTCTTCTTGTACCATACAATCAAGCCGATAAAGATGACTTAATATGTCCTAAAGGAAATAAAATACTGTGATTATAAACACATAATATCACAAAATACTTACAATTTAAAATCTAAGACCAGTTGGGCTAAAATATAAAATGGCTAATACAATATACCAAATAAAAATCTTTACACAATACTACTTCATATCAATCAAATTAAAATACAAACAGTTGCACATCATAAATACAGCAGTTTCATTACTCAAATAATACGTCAATAGTATCATGAAAATTAAATACATTCTACTGCTTTTCAATCAAATTAAGATCTTTATTTACTTAAAACATTATATATACAGAAGTTTAAATATTCAAAACAATTATGCTACTTGCTTTCTTCATCGGATGATATATAGCTATTTCCATAGATAAATTCTTATCCTTAACACCCTCACTAAGATAGGTCAAAATGTGCATGTCAAAAGTTTACAGAGTTACATTCAAAACTTAATTAAACTACTTTATTATCAATGCATATGAATAAACCAGACATATATAATAACATAGATAATAAATCAAATTTTAATTATTATATACTTTTTAAATTTCTTAATTTTATAAAGAAATATTATAAAAAATTCTCAGTGTCCCCTAAAATGAGAATTGTCACATTTGCACTCTAGGTCTTTCCCCCTTCTCTAATTTATTCAAAACCCCTCCCTGAAGTAAGGAATTTAATGTAAATTACACATTATAATATAGATATTACTAAAGCAATATCTAATTTTTATGGCCTTCAATCTTCTTTGTTTATGGAGTCATAAACTAAAAACATGCCATGCCCACCTGTCACATCCTCTCTTACACAAATAGCCAATAGTTCTCTTTAACGTTTTATACTATATTATATATAAACAACAGAAAGACAAAGTTTTAATCTATCAAATGATGTACAGAGTATTGTCTATTTTGTCTTCAGTTTGAAACTTTCTCTTGCTGTGTTCAGATTTATCCCAAGGTTCTCATGCCATAGTTAGAAAGCCAGTTAAGTTATGATAGTCATACAACACTATTTATTTTGTGTAAAGTTATTTTTCTGTGTTCTTAGTTGGATTAATTAAGTAATTAAGAATTATTTAGTGTACTAGTACCATTAGTATAAAAAAAAGTAAGCTTCAAATTTGCTCGTGAACTGACAGCAAAAAAAAAAAACCCCAAAAAACAAGAGGACAAAGGTAAGTACCATATTCCTTGTTTTTCCTTTACATTCTCTACTTCTTGTTATACAAGTGATTTACAATGTGTGTGGCAGGATTATTAGTTAGACATAGTTCAAAGGACAATAAAACTAAGTATATACATGTGTATACAGTTATGAGCCTTAAGCTATTTAGGCTACAGAAATGTAGGTTTCTGTTAAAATCTTCAGTTGTTATAGAAAGAAAAAGGGTAATTCAGTTTTATTTCACATCTTTTTATGGTGGTTACAAGGTCAGTCAAATCCACTGACACTGTGTAGAGTTAAGATAGACAAAATATAAAGTTTTACTGAAAAAACATCTAATATTTATTTAGAGGGATCAAAAGGTTACGCTAATGAAACTTAAAAATTTTCAAATGAAGAAAAGAATTCTTAATAGAAATATGAAAATCAATTTGTACTCAGAGCAGTCAAAACTCAGACTTTGTATATTCACAAAAAACCTTTAGTAAAAATACTTAAGTAAAGAATCAGATTCTTTGTGTACAAAAGTCTTGTAATGTATACTGAATGCTTGCCAAATTTCATGAAGATATATTTAACATACTAAAAGTTATAGTATGGAAATTAATGATTACTTTGTGGTTATGAGGTCGGATTAAATCAACTGAGCCTGTGTGAAAAATGTTCAATGAAGTTCATTCTCTAGGTTTAACTGAAGGGCTAAACAATGATTTTTTTCCCTATATGTTTAATTGAAAATCCAGATTAGAGAGTTTCTTTCTGTAAGGCCAATTGAAAATCTAGATTGGGGAATTTTCTTTCTGTAAGTTTAATAAAAAAAAATCCAAAATAGGATGATTTTTTATTTAGGTTTAGTTTAAAGGCCAAAGTAGGAAATTCCTTCTCTACAATTGGTTGAAACACCATAGTAGGTATATTTTTTCTGTAGATTTAATTAAAATGCTAGAATAGAAATATTTTCTGCAAATTTAAATGAAAAGCTAGAATAGAAAATTTTTCCAGGTTTAATTTAAAGACCAGGGTCAGAAATTATTCTTCTAGGGTTAGCTGAAAAGCATGAATAAAAAGTTTTTTCTGTTGGTTTAGTTGAAAAGCCAAAGTAAGAAATTTTTCTATAAGTTAATTTAAAAGGATAGAAAATGACAGTTTTTTTCCATCTTAGTTTGACTGAAAAACATATCATTTATGTTTCTGATTAACAATCAGTTATTCAGAACAAAATATCTTAAAATATAACTGAAAGTAAAAAGGAAACAAAAACAATAATTCAAGAGTAAACAGTACATACTTCGAGCCCTTCATTTTCAACAGCAACCATTTCCACTCCTTCAATTTCACTTCGTAATCTCTGTCGCTCTTGGAGATGATGGGCAAATTCCAACATTTTCTCGGATGGTATATACTTTTCTATCCCAACTTTCTCCTGTCCAGGTAACAAAATTCATTAATAGATTGTCTATATTTTTTTAAATCTTGGTTACTTAAAAACTAACACACAGTACAAGTTTGACAATAGCTTGAATGAGTAATGGAGAAAACTTTATTTCAAGTTTAACAAAGCAAAAAATGTACAAAATTTCGACGAGGTTTTGTTATCAGCGGGTACAACGTCAAAACACTGTACATTTTTTAATATGTCAAACTTGTAATAAATTCTTCTTCTTTATCCATTCAAGTCATATTCAGACTTTATTGTCTCAAAGTGAATTCCTTGTTATTAAAAATAATAAAAGTTTAATACGCACCACATCAGAAAACCATTATAATTTGTAACTTTTTCTTGAAAAAATGTCAATACAAAAATATATTTGATATTCTAAACCACATAATTACAGATTTACTACAAGACAAACACACATTACATGGATTGCTTTAGATAGTAACACGCTTATCAAAAGTGTTAAGCAACACAATATGGAGAATTCTTGAATTATACTTTATATCTTACAAACACATGATTTCCTTACTACTACGTTCAAAAAGATATTTAGTTACCATGAGTTATGTTAAATCTGAATCAACATTTCACACTCATATAGCATGTTTGGTTAACCTGATTGGAATGATGACTTTTAAGTGAAGATTTATTTTGCTGCATTTCTTGTAATTGGTCGCAACAGGGCCCTACAGTAAAGTAAGCTTACTTTAAGTAGCCATATGAATATTGCATGTAGTATCAAATATATTTAGACAAATTATATACATTTTCAAATATAAAAATGTGATACAGTCCTATATAACATATGTTTAAACTACATATGAATGTTTTATTTCACTTATACACTTATCTGTAAAATAAAAGGGTTTTCAATCAAATATAGGCTAGGAATTATGATGTTATCAGTAAAAAGTTGTGCAAATTTATATCATCAAAGTTTTGAACCTTTGTTTGGTAAAATGTTCCAAACCTTTGAAGGTCAAAATCTACCCCCTTCGTTATAACCTTAATATTGTGGCTTGATGAAGTCCCAATGGCAAAACGTCTGAAATTAATTTTTGATTATTATTATCTGGAGAGTAAGGGTTGTTTTTTTAATAACTTTATTTTTAAGAGATAAAACAGTTTCAATTTCTTTTCAGAACAACTTTGCAACTAATAAAAAAAAGACCTGAACCTTAACTGATAAAAGAACTTAAAACTTACAATAGAAAAGGTTTGTTTTGTTGTATTTTGCATAAAGCTAATCGAGGGTTATCTGTGCTAGCCTTCCCTAATTTAGAAGTGACAAAATAGAGGGAAAGCAGCTTGTCAACACCACCCACTTCCAATACATGGACTACTTTAATCAAATAGTGGGAATGACTATCACACTATAACACCCCCACAGCTGAAAGAGTAGGAATGTTCTGTGATGGGATTCAAACCCACACCTGCATATTGCAAGTTGAGCACCCTAACCACCAGGCCTGAAAACATTTGCAACTGATAAAATAAAACAAACCTCAAGTGAACATACTTTAATGATGCACTGAAAAAACAGGCCTGAATCTCAACAAACAGTATTTTGACACTTAAAAACATAAATTGCTTTTACAGCCTAAAATCCATCCCACATGTCACAATGAATGCAAGGTGTATCCCTCAATGTTTCCAATGAACTTGTTGACTTAAGTAACATAAATAGAACAGCAAAAAAAAAACTATCTTTAAAAACAAAATTTCTAATATATATTTTTACATGTTGTTGATGTAAGTGTGAATTTTTATATATCCTTTATAGTAAGTAGTACGTCTAAATATTGGAAGAAGATTCTTAGAATATAAAATTCTTCAAACTTGGTTGTACAACACGACATTTCACATGTGTTACATTAAAATACATATAAGATATAAGAGCTACTTTTCCATGGCTTCAAGAAATAAGTATTCTTAAGTATGTAATTATAAAGTTATGCTTACAAGACTGGACAGATAAGTGGATTTCTTTTCGGTAGCATCATACATAATTTCTAGTTTAACAAGGTTTTCTACTAAGTTCACAAGAGGACAAGTATGAACATATTGATTTTGCAACTCCTCCACCTGCTGACAGAGCTTCATATAATTCCTTTTATGCTCCTTCTCCTGAGGCTTCCTACGGAATCACCAAATAACAAATACTTCAACTGAGCTACCCAAGGATGCTCTCATACTAACCTGAAGTAAAATCTAAACCTAGATTTAAAAAACCTTCATACAGTATGAATGCTTTCAAACAATGTAGATTCTACTCAATTCCAGTGAACAGATAAAATATTAATAAATATGTTGGCATGATATTAAAAATTCATTTAATATATTTAATAAATTTCTGTTGACCTAACAACAATATTCAAGAAATATCCTTTTCTTATATTTTTTTTACTCTTTCTTCTATAATATTTCTAAAACAAATTATAACAAAACAAAGAATATATAATACATTTATAATTGTTATACCACAATCTAACAGATTATTTTTTTCAAATGCTACATATAAAATATCACTTCTTTCAACAATACAAGAAGAAATGATGATTGAACCTACATTTGTATCAAATGTTGTTCGTTAGAAATTTGTAGCTGGCACTGTTCCCGTGCCTTGAATAACTGCCTCTGACTTTGCCGTAGCTGAACTAGGAACAAAACAAGTTCCTCATGCTGAAATTAATTTTTGAAATTTAATATCTACATATCAAATTGAGAATAAATTAAAGTTCATAAAATGTATTATATCCAACTGAAATAACAGGACTTACATAAACAAGCAAGAATTTTCTACAGTTTAAGAAACAGCATAGGGGTATAGGACATACAAACAACATACAAAATGAGTAGGTATGAAAGATGTATTTCTTACATAACCAAGACAGACACAAAAAACAACTATATCAGGGTACAACAAACAACTTGTTAACAAACTGCTTATAAGTTAAGAGCTATCAGAAATAGTACTCATGTTAATACAATTGTTATGTATAAATGATAAGCTTGAACATCAGACACAGAAACTTACTTAATAACACTATGTATGCAGGGAAGGTCAAAATGAACTGTAACTAGCCATGGTAAAGTTTTGCAAAACTACACTAAAAATAGGTATCTGGGCAACAGTCATATCAATAACTGACATCTGGTATTAAAGTTATTAAATACATACAATTATGATGAATATAGAATATAAATCAATTGCTTTGATATAACAAACATAAGGAAAATACAATTATACATATTATGTACAGAAAAAATAAAGGAATATTTCATTCTCCAAATAATACACTGTAAAATTAAAGGTTTAACTTTACATTGAAACCACATAAATACTGTCTTTGATTTTAAATTACAAAGTAAGTTCAGTAGTTTGGCTAGTTGAGAGAGTGATTGTTAAATTGAGAGCTGAAGAAGAGTATAGGTTATATTCCATAAAACGTTTTCTAAAAACCTGTTGTTACAAAACTTTTATTGTTCTATATTTTTAAAAAGAAACCACGCATAAATGTATGTTTTTAAAAAAAATTGTTATAATTCACATTCTCATTCCCACCAACAATGTAATACTGTAATAGTTTTTGAAACAACAGGTTTAAAAAAGAAACATGCATAAAAGTGTTAGAATTCATATTATTGGCAGAAATGATTATATTTACATGTTTGTTTGTTTGTATCTAAAAACTTTTCACAATGTGTGTATGTGAGGTTAAGGAATTTTATTATAAAGTTATTACTTCAAATAAAACATATAGAAAAAAATTGCCTTATATAGCAATCAAAAAAGTTGTAGCAAAAATGGTATTTTTGAATTTTTATCGTTTAAGAGTTCTTTCAGTGATTGTGCATTTAAACAAATAAAATTTCTGATTTTCAAATTGATAAAAAAAACATTTTTAATAAAAGTCATTATTACCTGACAAAAAAAAAAATTGACCATATTAAAAAAAAACTTTACTTCAAGCTAAATTTGTGTTTGTTTCTTTGCATCTTTCAGTTCCTATAATAGTAGGCCTATAAAGGTATGGAATAAGTGTACTCAGGTTTATTGTCTTTGACATAACATTTTTAATGTCAATGAAAACTTTGAAATCTAATTTTTTCCACAGAAGATGGACCACATTTTTGGTCTGATTTAAGTAGAAATAACGTCAAAAAAATGTATGTGTATTTTATAGATATATGGGTTGCCATTATGGTGTCAAAATAAAAATCCATCAAACACTATTGTGTCTACTGACAAACAAGAATAACCTTTTTGATACTATAGACAAGTTGAACCCATTAAGTTCTACGAAAATAAATTGTTTTTTATTCATTTTATTTTGGGAGCGGAGATGGGAATTAGGTAATATAAACATTTCTGATACTGAATATGTACCTCAGAGTAAAATGTCGAGAAAAACAAATTTTATTGCCAATCACAAGCAGCAAAATGTATGCAATAAAAGTGACAGTAAGACTCCACTAGAAACCAAAAATGCCATTTATCCAGAGGCATTGCAATGACTGTTAAAGGGAGGGAGATATACTTTCTTATACAATTTTCTTATACCATTTGATAAGTAATGTTACATGAAAATTTAAAAATACCTAAACATCAGTCCTCTGTTCAGGTAATACCCAGGCAATGCAGGTAAGGATGGATAGTGTACATATATATATATATTTCACACAATAAAATTTCAAATGATTTACTTTTTAAAACCTAAAAAAAGGGAATACTACACAGTGTAAACTATAAAAAATTATTACTTTAAATGTTACTAAGCATTAGCAATCATAAATATATTTTACGAATAACAAAATTCTTACAGTTTTCCCTAAAAGTTCCCCAGCTGAAATACTGATGTTCCTATGCTTGGAAGTCAGATTTGTGGAATGTTGTAATAGTCTATAAATTTTTGAAGACTGCAAGTAGTAACACAAAACAGAATAATGAAAGACTTGTTTTATGAAAACTGTAAGTATAAGATTATTAACATGTACAAATTAAAAATGTAAGTATAAGCTTATTAACATGTACAAATTAAAACTTTAAATATAAGCTTATTAAGATGTACAAACTAAAAATGTAAGTATAAGCTTATTAACATGTACAAATTAAAAATGTAAGTATAAGCTTATTAACATGTACAAATTAAAACTTTAAATATAAGCTTATTAAGATGTACAAACTAAAAATGTAAGTATAAGCTTATAAACATGTACAAATTAAAAATGTAAGTATAAGCTTACTAACATGTACAAATTAAAACTTTAAATATAAACTTATTAATCTGTACAAATTAAAAGTTTTCATAAAAGAGCAGAAAGTGTAAAGCAATTTAAATACTGACATTAAATACAGTAATGAACATAAGCAGATTTGATATACCTATCTATGATAAGCAAATACATTACATATTATCTCTTTTATGAAAAAGAACTAAAAAATATTTTGTAAATCAGTTCTTCTAAATGATGAGTAGAACAATTAAAGTCAAAAAGTAACAATAATAAAAAACAGTTTGGTATTAAAATAAATAAATGATATAGTGTAAATAAATCCTTACCTTCAATATAATGAGTTGTGACTAAAACAAAACTGATAAAACGTTAGACTTCACCAACTTAATGTAGTTTACACTTAAAACAATTGTTGTTAATGTAATTTGAAAATATAAATTACAACTCAACCACTACTATATTTGTTCTACCTTAGTAGGCCTGAAAAGCCATGGTATTAGGTAAAATGCTTCATCAGCACTGTATACAGCTACTATGGTGTGGTTGATATATTACTATACACTCTTCTTTCACTTGTGCATTCATATAATCATAAGACAGATACTAAATGTAAGACCTGAGAATATATAGTACAAATAGTGTGTCAGAAAAACAAAATATTTTAGTAATAGTAATTTATGTTTTGAATTTGTTGTCAGCACAAAGACCCACCTGATGAACATGAAGCTCTGAGTCTGACAAGACAGTTCTACCAACAACTCTGCGATTCTTTCCTCTCCAACTCACTTTACGAACTCTTGGTTTATAACTTTCTCTAGTATGACCTGAACTTGATGGTGACTCTAAATTGAAATAAATTAAACAAGAAAGGTCAAACTACTTTCACAAACTGTATCTGAGAAGTTCTTAATAATGAAAAATAATTTTTAAATCCACATCACGAAAAAATAAATTTGCATATTAATGTAAATTATTTTCTGCTTTTGTAGTATCATATTAAGAAAACATGAGATTTAACACTAGTGCAAGTCAGATAAAAAGCTGAAAATATCCTAAAATATTAGACTGCTACAAAATTGTTTGATTTAAATAACTGAACAAAACAAATGTTCTTTATTTGTTAACCCTATCTTAGTGCACCCCCCCCCCCCAGGAAAAAATTATTCAAAATTTTATCTTAAATAATGCATCAATAATTATATGTACATGTAAAGAACACAGAAAAATACGAAAAATTGCACACAAAATACAGGTACTAAGAAAACGTTTTGTAAAAAATAAGCTATAAAATTGCCATATGAAGCTGATAGTATGTGAAGAATATATACAACATCAATTAATCTCACTTTTAATGCTGATGATACATATGCGATTACAACACACAAAACTCAAGCCTAGTTGTAAGGCTTTTAGTTTTTGGAGAATAATGTTGGAAAATCAAATCTATTTATGAAATAGTGAGCGTCAAAAATCAAAGCTGTAGTAACAAAAAGCTGTAAAAATTTACAATTTTAATTATACCAAAATACTTATGATACACAAACACAGCAAGACCAGTTTGGATAAATATTAGGCCTACTCAAACATACTTATGAACCATGCATAAATCATAAGAATAAAACTGTATTATGATGCACATAAAAAACACATCACAAGTTCAATAAAAGATATCTAAACTAAACACTTTCAATTCTTTGTACTTTTAATGTTAAAATTACATATTAAAAAGACAAAAACAAGTTGAGTTTTTTCTGAACTTACAGTACTTAATATGATTCTTAAATTAAACTTATAATGTTTTACCCCAGTTAGAATATTTGATAATATTCATTCATTAATCATAAAAGAGACAGAGCTCTGAGCTTACCTTCATCATCAGATGAGTAGTTATTGGCAATAGTGTTTAATGCAGATGTTGATCTATGATGTTCTATGGGAAAATAAAATAACTTTTCAAGAAAATATCAACTTAAAAAAAACTGTCCCCAAATAGTTTAACCTATGGTTATAGAAACCATCTCACTTCCATTTATCGTTTTTGTACATCTAATAAACAATAAAGAGCCACTGTTATGTATTGCTTCATTAGCAAAAGTGATACATATTTTACTTAGAAAATGAGAACAAAATAATACTAAGTCTCATATTAAGGCTACCATTTTAATAAACTATTTATACAAATTTCAACATTAAATATTACCATGTGATCTTGATGAGTTTCTGTTTGACCTTTGGCTTCTTTCATCCCATCTACCTCCAACATTTGTTCTTGCATGGCGACGAATCTCACGTTCTACCTCACCACACGAGAGCCGTCTAGGTTTAGGCACTCTTTCAGGAGGCAACAAATTATCATCATATTTAGGAGCTACAAACTGAGCAGGATGGACTGTTTTACAAATCTCATTATCTTGCATCTGAAGCTCTTGCATTTTTTGCTGCATTTCCTGGGTTTCTAGATTTTGAAGCACTTGCTGACAATATTCTTCTGGTAGAGGTGGTCTTGGAGGAGGTAAACCTGGAGAGCCATTGAAAGTTGCTGGATCTAAAGCTCTAGTTTCTTCAAAATTTTGTTTTTTAGACAATGGACACATGAGCATTCTCTCTTTCCATTCTATAAGCTTTTTCATAGATTCCTTCTGTTGGGCTTTACTTTTATTATCCCATTCATCAGAGTTTGAGATGCCAAAATATGGAACCAGGACTTCTGGCTCTCGATGTCTGGCATCAAATGGCACATATATATTTTCATCAATGAATACAGGACGAGCTGAAACAACTCCATGGCAATTGCTTTCTTGATGTTTAGGACTTGAAGAAACTGAGTAGTTGTACTCATGTGTAGTCCTATAATAATTCTTACCTGGCATGTTTCCTAAATTTCTGTCATAAAAGTATGATGGATCTTGAGTCTCTCTAGTAATCAAACTCATTTTTTCCATTCCAGGTTGGTTAATATTTCCACTAATGGGTGGAATTGCTGGTTGATCTAACTCAACCATACTCTTTCCAAACATATCAGAGTGTCTTCCAGCAAGAGGTGGTCCTTGAGGCATACTATTAGTGGGCTGTACAGAGTCTCTGTAAAAAATAGAATTTTCATAGTCTCGGTCAGTTATCTGTCTAGATCGTGATTCAGGGTTTACTGTTGTAGACATCTGTAAGTAAAGTTGAGGTTGTGGTTGATGATATCTATCACTCTCCAAAGTCCAATAATTGTAATCATTTTCCCAGTTGTCAGAACTCCTGAAATTTGGGTCCTTCATGTAATTGGCATAAAAACTTCTATGATCAGGTGGTGGCATAAACATGTCCCTTCCTGGATTAATGTCATGAGGAGGTACCAAGTCAGGAGCACAATGGGGTAAGCTTGTATAGCTAGCATGAAGCCTCTTTGGTTTAGGGGGGCCAACTGCATAATAATGTTGTCCCACTTTTCCTCTAGCATAAACAGTACATGGAATAACTGACTGACTACCATAGTGATTGAGATGTCTCTCACTGCTGCTTATAAAACCACTGTCACTGGTACCATCATTAACAACAAAGTTTCCATCTATGTCTCTGGGAAGGTCATTTGTTGACTGAGCTGAAGCAAAGCTGCTGTTCAGTGTTTCTCGTGGATCGTCATGATCTTGCAGTTTACGGGACTGATACGAAACAAATCCTGAATCTTCTTCGTCTAACCCTGGGGTGGGCAGCATACTTAACTGATCGGTGCTATAGTGTCTCCTAAAAAGAAATACAAACAAGCATTAGATTAACCGCATCAAAATTTTCATGTTCTCAACAAGTTGTATGTTCATTGGTCAACAATGTGGCTTGAGAACTACATTCTATGTATTAATTAAAAAACAACAACAACAAGGGTTTTCATAACATTTGCATCACATGCAAACAGTTTGAAAAATAACTCATGTGTAACAAGCAGATACGTGATATAAACACCTAATTCGATTTCATTTGAATTAAATAATAGTAATCTGTTATCATATACACATCAACATCATAGCTACTAAATACAATACTTTTACATAATAGAACTCTTAGTTTCCAACACTCTACAGTACATTTCTTTTCATTACACATGCAAACAATATTGTAACTAACTTCAAATGACTAATTATTAACTATTGATAGCCATCAATTTTTATTTGTTCATGTTGGAAGTGAAACCAAAACTTCCTATGTGAATATCTGCATGACAGTTGACACACACAACGAAAATATTCACAAGATCTTTATGTCTAAAAACACTACAGGAAATTGGTTTTACAGTAACAGAAACATAAATCTTGCTGTACAGAAGTTGCCAGTAACAGTGCATACACCTGCTAAGTCATTAAATGTTGAAGTGCTACAACAAAAACAATATTTTACAAATTACCGTGTGAATGTCTGCATGATAGTGGCTAGACAGAGTGCATTCATCCACTGAATCATCAACTCTCGAGATTCTACAGCAAAGTAATATGTCTTCATATTGTGATGTTCTGCCTTCATTGGATAAAAAATAAGTGGCTATTAAACATTGTGAACAAGTTTATTCTTTTATCAGTTTCACAAAATTTATCTAATGATAAAGAATGTTTACCATCTTGGCAATATAACATAACATTTTGGGACAACATGGGACCTATTGGTCCATCCCAGCTGTTCCATCCTATAAACTAAATTAAAATCTATATATATAAAAGAGGAAGTTTATTTATTTGTTTTTGTTCGCTATAGGAAACCAAATGGTTGAGCTTACAAATTTTAAAATAACTTCATAATAACCAGTTTTTTTTACAAGAAATTTAATGGTGCTATTTATTTTGTATTAATAAATTGTGCCATTTTTTTGTAATAAATATACAAACATAAGCATGTTTTGCACATAGAAAGCGTTATAGTGGCAGACACTCAGATCACCTTGCTGTCAATTCAGTATTTCCAAAAACAGTTTTATTTAAATAGTGCTAAGTGGTTTCACAAGTAATTTAGTAACTTTGTGAATTGCAAATTATTGTTTAGTGATACAGGTGATTATGCCACCCAAGAAATGTCCTTTCTATGGAAAGTCTTCTGCACTAAAAGAATGCAAGCACAAAGAGTAGCTGAAACAGAAGAAAAATGCAATCAAAGACTTCAAGCACAAGCTGCAAGACAGGCTGCTCAAATACAGGAAGCTACTTTGGAACAACGTAAAGTTAGACTTCGTGCTAAAGCTGAAAGGCAGGCTACTCAAAGACAGCAAGAAACTGTTGAACAGCACAAAGCCAGAGTTCAGTCAGAATCATCAAGGCAAGCTGGATATAGACAACAAGAAACTTCTGAACAATGTCAAACCAGACTTCAAGCACAAAAATTAAAACAAATAACTTACAGAGAGCAAGAAACAGAGGAGCAACATGATGTACGACTTCAGGCTCAAAGAATAAGACAAGCTCAAACATGATCTAATTTCAAATAAAGCTTTGTTTGATTAAATGCTTTTTTATTTCTCGCATCACAGCTTTTGTCTACTTACTGAATAATTTGCTGAAAAAAATACTGATCTATACATTTCAAATCTAAATTTTCACCATGCAATACCGGGTAACTCAGCTAGTAATTAATAAATAATTAATAATCTTAAAGCCAGCCTTTATCATTCATATACTTATCAAGCTTTCTCTTAAACCCACTTAAATTTACTGCCTCTACAACATCTGAAGGCAACCCATTCCAAAAGCCAACCACCCTGTAAAAAAATGAAATTGTCTTTGCTGAAGATGACTTCTACCTTGCCAAAATTTATATTTGCATCCCCTAGTCCTACTATTCTCACTGTTAAATATGAAAAAAGATGATACATCAACATGATCAATTCCCTTTACAATCTTAAACACCTCAATCAGATCCCCTTTAACTCTTCTTTTATTTAAAAGGAAACAATTTGAGAGATTTCAGCTTCTCCTTGTATGATAACCCCTCCATCCCAGGCACCATTTTAGTAACCCTTCTCTGAACCATTTCCAACAATTCAATGTCTTTCCTGAGGTAAGAAGCTCAAGACTGAACAAAATATTCCAAATGTGGCCTAACCAGTGACCTGTACAATTCAATTATAACCTCTTTAGACTTGTATTCAATATTTCTGTAGATACAACCTAAATTCCTATTTGCCCTACCACTAACAACAGCACACTGCTTAGATGGCTTTAGAGACTGATTGATTATTACACCAAGATCCCCTTCCTTCATGGCACTATTAAGGTTATTTCCATCCAAATTTTTCTTATAATTCAAATTATGATAACCCACTTGCATTATCTTGCATTTATAATAATTAAAAACCATCTGTCATATATTTGCCCAACTCACTAAATGATCTAAATCCTTTTGTAAATCATCATCCTCTTCACAGCTAGAAACACTCACGACCTTAACATCATCTGCACATTTAAGTAATTTATTGACTATTCCTTCATCTATGTCATTGATGTAAATCAAAAAAGAGCAAAGGACCTAAAACTGAGCCCCGAGGTACCCCACTTGTGACATTAGTCCAGTTTGACAGAACTCCATTTGTAAACAACCCTCTGTTTTCTTCCATCCAGCCACTCTTCTGTCCAATTTGCTTACTTATCCTCCACACCTATAGAGCTAATTTTTTTACAAGCCTTTTATGTGGCACCTTGTCAAATGCTTTCTGAAAATTCAGATACACCAAATCTACACCCTTACCCTCATCTACATAAGCAGTAACCTTTTCAAAGAATTTTAAGAGATTTGTAAGGCAAGATTTTCCCTTAGTGAAACCATGTTGACCATCCAATAAAATTCGAAACTTTGTTAAATGACTTTGCAAAGCATCTTTTAACAGACTTTCCAAAACTTTTCCCACAACTGATGTAGGACTAATGGGTCTATAATTACTTGGACAATTTTTATCACCTCCCTTGAAAAGAGTAGTTACATTAGCTAAAAATCCTCTGGTACCTGCCCACTATTCAAGGACTGACAAAAAATAGTAGTAAGTGGCTCATATATCTAATCTCTAACCTCCTTCAAAACCCTTGGGTAAATATTATCTGGCCCAGGAGCCTTATCATTTCTTAAACTTCCCAATTTTTTCTTAACCAGCTCAGAATTAATGTTCGATCTTGTTTCCATCTATCAACTGTTCAAGATGGGGAATACTGCTTAAATTTTCATTAGTAAAAACTGAAAAAAAAGCAAAATTTAATAACTCAGCCATCTCATAATCATCAGATACTAGCCTTCCTTTATCATCCCCCATCCTAACATTTTGTTTATCCTTAATGTATTTAAAGAAATCCTTACTGTTAATTTTTACATTTTCAGCCAACCTTTTCTCATACATCCTTTTTGATGTCCTAATTTCCCTAACTTTCTTGATCTTCTATAATCTTCTAAATCTCCTGTCATACTAGTCAATATAAATTTCTTAAATTATTAAGCTTTTCTTTAATTTTATCTCTTAAACTCTTTGTGAGCCAATCTGGTTTTTTACTTGTAGCTACCTCTTTCTTTCTATAGGGAATATGTTTACCTTGAATATTTAAAAATTTATCTATTCACAACAGATAATTCTTGCTACATCCCTTCAAAATTTGTTTTTTGAAATTTGTATCCAAAGTATCATTATTCCTTATCTCCATATGCACCAAAACATTGAACCTAATAGAGCAATGATTACTTGCATCCAGATGTTCCCCAATTTCCACCCTCTCTATCATTTCTGTATTTGAAGTTAACAATAAGTCTAAAATAGTATTGTTTCTAGTTGGTTCCTTGATTAGCTGGTGAAGAAAGCCATCTTGAACGGTTTCCAAAAACCTTTCTCCCTCATGGTTTGAATCTAGAATTTCCCAATCTATATGCCTGAAATTAAAATCATCCATAATTATGACCTCATTAACAGCTGAAATCTCAGTCTCACTGTAAATTTCTCACTATTTTCATCAGTATCATTTGGTGATCTGTAACAAATTCCCACTAAAAGCCTTTTCCCTTTATGTCCACTAATAGAAACCCAAATAGATTCAATCTCTTTGCTATTATCTTTGATATTCTCAACTTCAACAGGATGTAACTTATATTTTTCATATAGACCCACTCCCCCCCCCCCATCTTTAATACTCTATCCCTATTAAATAGTCTGTAACCCTGTATTTCAAAGAAGTTTCTGTCATTAAAATCATCTACATTTAACCATGTTTCAGTTATTCCCATTATATCAAAATCCTCCATTCTCACCAGTGCTCTAAAGTCATCTATTCTTATTTCTTATACTTCTAGCATTACAATAGTAACAATTAAGCCTACACTTATAACTACTTCTATACTCATTTCCTATGCTAAACATTTCTCTGC